GTTTTGAATTGATCAAACTTCCAGTGAGAAAGTTGTTCCTCGGTATTCAAGCAAGTTTTCTGGAAAATTTTAACAAAATTTATTCAAAAATAAAAAAGTTATGCGATACTTATATGTATATCGAAATAAGGACTGTACATCTTGAATTTTCTCTTTACTAATTCGAGTTGGCAGAGCTCGACGCGTATTTAACAAAATGTCAAATTCAATGTTTGAAGGTAAAATATACTGAAAAGCACTTTCTGCATAATTTTTAAATACTTCTATTTGACCGTTTGAAAAATAAATTATTTTCACCGCTTCACTTATTTTCACTTTGTCTTTTGGAATATTTACATTGTGTGGAAGATGAACTTCAAAGTCATGCACACTAATTTCCGAATCGTTAATAAATTGTTAATAAATTGCCACCTTTTTTTAAAACTTCCTTCTAAAAAATTGTACATGTAACTCCGCTTATGTTTTCCACTCAAAACATTTACATTGAATATGTGCAGCCACATTAACCTTTTGTAAAATTGAGCTGAGACTGGTAATTTTGGTATTCCCAAATTTTGCCCAAAATCAAATTCGAGACACAATACATTATTTTCAGACAACATAGCTGTTTTCAAAAGTTTCTAATCATCTAAATTTTGTTTGTGTCGGGCTAGATACTCATTAGTTTCGCTCACATTTTTAAATTGAAAACAAAAATCGCAAACATCTGTTTTAGGCTTGGAAAAAGAAAAGTTCAGATTGTAATTAAAATATTGACAGTAAGTTTTCTTTGTTATCTGTGGCGGTTTCTTAAATTTGTTTGTATAATATTCAACAAATAAAGAATATAATTTAGTCAAATTTAATTCTGAATTTTCAAAATACAACAATTTGGATTTTTCTAGACAGTAGTGCGAAAGAGAATGAGGAATACTTAAACAGTGTTCGAGAATATTTTTTTTTAACTCTTCAGTTAAATGTATAACGTGGTTTTTATGTCTCCCAGTATTATTGTCAGGAGATTCATTTTTAACAATTTTCTTTTGTATGGTGGTGAATCTTCTTATTTTTATGCTTAACAATGTACATAAAAACTTTTGACAAACAACGAAACGATTTGCTGCAGAATGGAATGAATACACTCAAAAAATTTTACTATTTACCCGAGATTTCAATAAAATCGAACTTTGAGATTTTTGTGTGATTAATCCACTTAGCAAAATGTTTTGTGATTTATGGTCACCTGCATTTTTCCAGAATGCATGGAAAAATTTTTCTTGTTCCGAATCTTCTATCGTTTTATAACATTCTTTTTGGCAACAATTTTGCACTGGGTGAAATTGCTCTGCAGAAATTACTTTCCTAGTGACTGACGTATATTCTTCTCCCTATTATAATAAATAATGAAAAAAAATTGTAAATTTGAGAGATATAAGATTATTATCTTAGAATTATTTATTATTATTTAATTATTATCCTTAGAAAAAAATATATATATATGTGGGACAAAGTCTTTGATAATTATTTTATTTGTATGGGATATCGATTTAATTAATTTTCATGCTGAATTGAAACTCAATCACTAAAATAAATTTAGAAAACTTACCGCATTTCTATCAATTTTTCTTTTATTTTGTTTCAAGAAATTATCATTTCTCGCTCTTTTTCTTCCTCTAAAAAGACAATCTTTTCCCGACATCTTTTTTTCTAATAACAGTGTACTAAACAAAATTTGCACTATTTTACAACCGCAAAATTTCGAAAACAGAAATGTTCGGTGACAAATTCAAACGAACACTAGCTTTAAAATAATATTTATAAATAAAGGGTTTAAAAACATATGTATAAGATAAAAATACTAAAAAATGTGTGCCATGAAAATTAGTACAAATTAAAAAATTTATGAAATAAAAGCACATGTATAAACAGGGAAAAAATGACGGACATATTAACCATATAAATATTAATAATAAATACAATAAATAATTGTTAATAATTAATTATTAACAAATAATTATTGATAAATAGTTATCATTATTAATTCTTAAATAATAATATTAATAACATAAAGGTGCTACAAAGGTGACACCTTTATAGCACTGTACTGTCTTTTGGAGCGAATGTGTAACGCGGCGTGTATTCTTTAAAAATTGCATAACTTTTTTTATTTTTTAATAAATTTTGTTGAAATTTTCCAGAAAACTTCCTTGAATACCGAGGTTTTTGGTGTTTTTAATTTTTAATTTAATTAATATTGGTTCTACAAAAAAAAGTATTAAGGAAAAAAGTTGTGTTTTTTTATTCTCTACAAGATAGTGTTTTCAAAAAATTAAAATTTTGAATTTTAATTTATTTGATTGACCTCCTCAATTTACCAAAGTATAAAGCCAATCCCAGAACTTTTACTTTTTGGGCTGGGGCGATTGAAGAGGAATATATACAATAATAATTTTTCTTTTATTATTTTATACTAATTAGTAATTAAGTTATTGAAGTTTTATTTAAAAATCATTATTATTATTATAAAAAAAAATTCTTTAAATAAATAAAAAAACCAAATTTATTTAAACCAAAAAAATAAGTAATAATAATAATAAAACATATCCCATCTAGTTTTTGTTTGCAACAAGAGAAAAATTATTATGATTGTTAATAATCATATAAAAAAAGTAAACAGACAAACCAAAACAAATTCAATTAGGTTCAGTTGGGGTAAATGGGCACAAAATCCCTATTTTTCACAATGTACGTAAGTTTCTTCCTTTAAAAAGTAATATTTGTGGGTTTCTTTTGTATTAAGTTGTTATTTACATTTCCAAAATTAATTTTATGGAGCAGAAGAAATTTTAGATAAGCTTTAATCGCATGAAACTGTCTGTCCCCATTTACCTCAAGATTTGGAAAATTTCCTAAAGTTCGGGGTAAATGTAAAAAATCAAAAACTAGTACCTAATGTAAAAACTTAAATAACTTTAACAAATTTTAACGAATTTTCTTTAAACTTGGTAAAATTGTTTTTGGGATCGCTGAAGAAGAATTCGAAGTCCGATTATTAAAATTTTAAATGGCGCATTCAATATGGCGGGCGAACCTAAAAATTTTCATATAAATTGATGAAATTTGCTTTGTTTATATCTTTTATTTTTTTTATTTTATACCTGCATATTTTGTTAAACAGAAGAGAGGTATAGATATAAGACAAACACGTTTTATTATATAATTTTATACTTTGAAAATAGTCTAGTAATCCAATAGGAACAAATTTGTTCAGTTACTGGTAACAGTTTGTTTTCAGGTACTGCGTAGTCTTGGGCAGTACGGAGAAGAATATAATAATAATTAAAAAAAATACTTAACTATAAATTAATTATTATTAATTATTATTATTATTAATTATTTTATTATATTAAACAGGCTTTAATTCTACGTTTAATATACTTGACAATTGTTTATAACATGAAGAAACTCATTAATCACTTAATTTTATGAATAAAAAAATTACAATGACATGCGCTTTTTAACCTTCAATATAAAAATTAAGTAATATAATTTTCCACACACATTATGATTATAAACTACAACATAATTTAATTCGCAGTACCTGATAGAACCTTTTCATCCAATAGATGTTAATATTCCTAATAAACTGAGATATGATGTAATATTTGATGGTGCGTACTCTTAGACTACCTTACCCTAAATAAAAATTATATCAAATGCTATTTATCTAAGATAGAGATCTCGATAGGCAGAAAATTCTGTCATTAAGTAATTCTGTATTATGTAAATTAAATTAAAAATTAGAATTCTATGTAACAAAAATTATTTAAAATAAAATTTTAGCACAATGAAATTTCTGACAAATATAATTTTTAAGATATTTATGCCTCTCTTTATAAATTATTCTTAATTCATAAAATTGTACAAAATTTAACTAAATTTTATTAGTTTATTATTTAGTTTTAATAAAAATAGTATTATTTGTTTAAACATTAGAGCTTATTAATCCTATTTTTATTTTATTAAAGACATCTGTAAATTATATTATTTTAATTTATAATTTATCATCTTATGGATAACATCTTATTCATAATATTTACAAATTAATGATTAAATAAAATAAAATTTCTCAAGAATCCAATGATTTGTTTCGTAACGTTGCGTCAGTAGTTTATTGTTTTTCCTGTTAATCAATAAAGCAAGTCTATTTTAGTATTCAAAAATCAATAAAGTCGCTTTTGAATTGTGCATAAAATATTCATTAAAATTATTAGAAAGGAAAAAAAATTCGATAACTTCATAAATTAAATATTCATATATAATTCACCAGTTTTGTGTGGAATTTTTTTAATTAAATATCACAATAATTAAATTTAAATAATTTAATTTGTACTCCATCTACTATGATTTTCAGAGATGTGATTTTTTTATTATCGTTTATTATGATCTGTATGATAATAGTTTGAGAATTTTGTATGATAAATCTCATTTGTTAGTTAAACAGTTTGCTAATTATTATCATACTCAAGTATGATTTTTCTTTGCGACATGCTACATGAAGAATGGTACGATGCAGGACAAGTGGCTTTTATTAAAAATAAATACAGATAGTATGAATGAAAAAAGTAAGTTGCAGATGAATGTAATAATTAATTCTCTTATTTTTTTTGACAAGTGTGAGTTATATTAGAAATCACTATAAGTTCAAATAAAAAATTTAAAACTGGCGTAACATAATAGAAAAATAGAAAACACTTTTTTTCAAATATTTTTTTTCTTTTGCTAATAGAACAGTTTGGTTTAATTAACAAATTTATTGTAACACTATTTATTTAATAGTGTATTAAGTAAAAAATATAATTAATTAATTTATTTATAATTAAATTAATGTTTAAATATTTAGAAATTAATTTAAATTAATTTAAATATGCAATTCATAAATATCAATTATATTTGTGGAATGAGTAAAGATCTATTGAAAATGGTATTATTATGTATATATACTTTATATTAAAACTCACCAGAAAAATAATATTATACACAAGAAGATAAAATTTGCTTCTTTGTATACCACACAGTTCTGCCATTCGGATATTTCAATAAGCTTAATGAAAGCAACGTGTTGCAGGTGGTGGTTTGGACAAGAATATGCGCGAAGAACATTCATGTACGTTGGTTTCGATCGGAAGTTTAACATATTCTGTAGTTCTATTGGACAATTCACTGGGACATGTATGGAAAAAGTCATGGTAAATTTCATTGGTTATCGATTCTAATATCAATTACATTCTCGTATGTTTCACCTTGTGTAACCAAGGATACATAGACTAATGACATTTTCCGGAAAAGCCAAGTTCAATAAAAGGGTGCTTTTCTTATGTAAATTTGAAGTTACAGAATAAACCAAATAAATAAACAATAAATCAAATTTCATTTCTACTTACTATTTTAGATTAGAATAAAAAATTTAGTCAATTAGTAAAATTATTATAATAGTACTGAAACTTATCTTTAATTGATTACACGGGCCTGCAAAATATCACTTATGTTTGTTACAACAAACGGGGTAGGTCATTTATACAGATTTTTCCACGTAGAATCCAAATCTTAAATGCGCGGTCAAAAATGGATATTGCTTTCTCGTAGAAAGCTTTATATTGATGATAATTTTTGAAGTTCTTAAAATAAATTATTTTAGCAAATTGAAAATCGAAAATAGCAAATTGAATATCGAAGTATGGGAAAAAACCATCAAAAGCCAGCAAAGTATGGGAAAAATTTTTTACCAAACTTTTCAGATTTTTCGCGCACTTTAAAGTATGGGCAAAATTAAGCAAACCTTGGGTTATGAGCGTCTCCCATACTTTGCTTTCACATTACAAAATCACAAAAATCTCGTCAAAATTAGTTCTTCAAAGTACAGCAAACATTGAAAAAAACTCAGGGCTAAGAAGAAATCATTTTTTCTCATTTTTAGGGTTCCGTACCCGAAGGGGGAACCCTATTAATGAGACTAGTGAAGCAAGGCATGTACCCCCCCCTAGCGGCCACACGAATTTATCTAGAAGGCTGAAATTTGGTACACATATGTATTTTGGCGTGTAGATTACAGGAAAAATATAGCGAATCTCATAGGAATTGATTATCATAGCGTTGTCAAGGAAAAACCATGAATTTTTACGAAAAATCCCTAAAAATGATTATGTACCCCCCCCCCCCTGGTGGCCACATTTTTTCACATAGAGAACTCAAATTTATTACACTTATGTATTTTTACGTGAAAATTACAGGAAAAATATAGCGAACATGATTCGTATCAATTTACATAGCGTTGTCAAGCGAAAATCAAAAATTTTAAAAAAAGCGTTTAATCCTTTTAGCGCACACACTATTTGACCAAGACAGTTCATATTTGGTACACATGCGTATTTTTACGTGTAGATTACAAAAAAAATATAGCGAGAACGATTGGAGTTGATCATCATAGCGTTTTCAAGGAAAAACTGATAATTTTCGATAAAAATCATGAATTTTCTTCAAAAAACGTAGAAAATTTTATCTAAAGGGCTTCAAATTTATACATTTTTACGTATTTTTACGTGTTGATTAGAAAAAATTTATAGTGAGCATGATTGGAGTTGATAATCACAGCGTTTTCAAGGAAAAACTGATAATTTTCGATATATGTGACTATGTTTCTGTCTATGTGTTTTCATGCTCACATTACAGGAAAAATTAAGCAAAATTGGAATTTTTCCACCTACCTTCACACTTTAACTCCCTTAAAATTTTAGGTTTAAGGGTACGGAATCCTCGATTTTAAGGGGAGTGTAACTCGCACTTGTCCGATTTTTTTTACTTTTTAAAATTAGTTTTTTAAAGTACGGAAAAATTAGGAAAAATTCGGAGCCAAGAAAAATTCATTTTTTCTCATTTTTAAAAATTTTTAAATTAGTTTTCCAAAGTACTGGAAAATTTGGGAAAATTCGGCGTTAAGAAACATTCCTTTTTTCTCATTTTTTTTACTTTTTAAAATTAGTTTTTAAAACTACTGGAAAATTTGGGAAAAATTAGCGGCCAAGAAAAATTCATTTTTCCTCAACTTTTTACTTTCTAAAATTAGCTTTTTAAAGTACGGAAAAATTTGGGAAAAATCGGAGCCAAGAAAAATTAATTTTAGAAAGTAAAAAAAAAGAGGAAAAATGAATTTTTCTTGGCCCCGAATTTTCCCAAATTTCCCCGTACTTTTAAAAACTAATTTTAATAAGTAAAAAATGAGAAAAAATGAATTTTTTTTGGCCCCGAATTTTTTCTAAATTTTCCCGTACTTTGAAAAACTAATTTTAAAAAGTAAAAAAATGAAAAAAATTGATTTTTTTTGTCCCCGAATTTTTCCCAAATTTTCCCATACTTTAAAGTGCGCGAAAAATCTGAAAAGTTTGGTAAAAAAATTTTCCCATACTTTGCTGGCTTTTGATGGTTTTTTCCCATACTTCGATTTTCACGCGGGAAGTGTTCGGATGTGTGTGTATATATCACCGCACAGTGGTCCAGAAATGAATTTCTGCTGACAAATACGTCTACAGCTCACAATTCTTAACCGATTAAATTTTTTTTTAAATACTCTGCATTTAAATTTCGAATAAACGTAAGAGAAGCGATTTTTAATTAGTTTGTAATTTTGAGGTTATGTGAGAAAAAGTACTATAAAAATTGAAAATCATGATTAAATATATAAAAAAAATTTTTAAATGTCAAATGTTCTAAATGTTTACTTCCAACAAATCTTTTAAAAAATTCTATGAATAAACTTATTTTTTGTTTCAAATGAAAAATAAAAGCTTGTAAATGTAAGAAAATAAAAAGTTACATATTGTGTTTAAAAACTTTGCAATGACAATAGTTGAACAAATAAAAACTATTGTTTGTCTTCAAAAAGTATAGATTCATGTCTTTTTATTGATGAAGTGAATATTTTTGTCACTTTAAAATTTTTTTAAATGTTTCTTCATGATTTTCAATTTTTTATGCTACTTTTGCTCACATAAACTCAAAATTACAAACTAAATTAAAATTCGTTTCTCTTACGTTTGTTCGGAATTTAATGCAGAGTATTTAAAAAAAATTTTAATCGGTTAAGAATTGTGAGCTGTAGACATATTTGTCCGCGGAAATTCATTTCTGGACCACTGTGCATCGCACCTTGTTATCAAAATATCTCAAACATGTTTTGATGGACCCGGCTGAAATTTTATAGGCTTATTACCTTCATCACTATCTAAAAATCGCACACAAGTATTTTTAAAAATATACACGCAATTTTTTAGGATAATTTTTCAAAAATTCAAAAAATCGTTATTCACTATAAAAATTCTTTTGCTGAAAATTTAATTTTTTTATGAGAAAAATTTATTCCTTGCATTAAAAAGAAATTTTTGACCTATAATTAGTCCATATTTTATCTAAACCAATGTTTAAAATTAGTGTTTTTAATTTTTTGAAAAAGTGAATTTTGCATTTTTTTCAAATAATTTTTTTCTTATTAAAGATTTTTAATCACTCTTTTTGCAAAAGTACATTCTAATCATCAAAACGAACGGATTGATTCAAATATTGTACATATTTTATTTAAATTTATAATGTTAATAGATATTTTTAAGTAAAGAAAATTCAAATTTTAAATTTTTCTGAGACTTTTGTTTAAAATTTTTTAAAGTACATGATAAACATTAAAATAGAACTAAGAACAATTAAATAAATATTTAATCTTTTAAAAAAGTTTATTAATTTAATAAAAAAAATTACAGAGAAGAAAAAAAAATATATAGACACTCAGTAAATCGAACTTTATATTCCCAAAGCATGATGGGTTGCTGAATCCGAATTCGTTGTCCATTTTCTCCATCACGTCAGGATTTTTTTTAATAATAAAAATTTATTTATATACATTTATTGGAAAGTATACGGGCAAAGCTCATTTGTGAGTGAGTGAGTTAATTTTGTTAATTTAAACAGATCATCTGTAATTTACATAAAAAGACCAAATTTTTTAAGTTTAACTAATCAGGACACACAGTAAAAACCTGGGTTCATTTTTGCTGCGTACCATTCGGAGTTCCGGATCAAAATGATTCATTGGCAAACTTCAAGTGAATCAAAATGATCCTCGCCAAGATTATAATTAGTAAGTTGGTCTAAGTAATAGGGCGCCATCTGGTGATTAAGAAACAAAGCAATTCAAATTCAATATCAGAATTTAATTTAACAGCATTGACAATTTATTTATAAATGAAAATTGAAACAATGAAAAATAAAGTGTATAACAACGAAAGTCACTAAACATTATGTTATTATTAAAGATATTTATTCCGATGATTTAAGTTTAAAAATTAAGTGAACTGGTTTGTCAGTTACTACTTTCACTACATCACAGTTTTCTTATGTGTATCAAATTGATACAAGAATTAAGATCAACTCATGCAACGTTTTAATTCGATATAAGGTATCAAATTGATCCAAATATTTGGATCATTTTCAAGAAATGATCCAGAATGTGGGATCATTTTTTGATACCTGAATTGGTATCAAAGTATTGCTTAAATTTTGTTCATTTATAATAAATAAATTATTGATAATTATTTGAACCATAAAAATAATTAAAAATTTTCAAGTGTTGTGATTGTGAACTTAAGGAGGTTCATCCCTTCAAGCGGTACTCATTCTATTAGGGGTTTTCCGTAAGTTTAAAACCGACAGCTATAGTCCATAAAAGTTGAGCTCCACTGGCCAATTTAGAGGTTATGTTGCCGTTTCTCCTCTTCTTTCTTTTATTTACATGGGATAAGTTCAAAAGTTGCTAATTTTGATTAACATTTACTTCACAACCAAACGGTAAAAAAATTTCATATTTTTGTAAAAACTGTTAAAACTCATAATTTAAAACATATTAGTTTTTGAAAAAAATCTGTAGAACCGTTTTTTTTTAATTAATGAAAACATGGTCATTTTTCATGTTTTTTCACTGTTCCCATGTAAAACTTCAAACTTTATCAATTTTTATCTTGAAAATGATACGGTAAAATTCAATAAAATTTGAACAACACATGTAAAGTGATGTCAATAATACATCTTAAAAATTTTTAAAAAATCTGTAGAAAATCGATTTTGGGATGAACCTCCTTAACTTAAATCTTATGTGATAAATATAAATAAAGGTTAGTGTATT